CCCTTGTACCACACCCCGTTGAGGTTGCAGTGGGCGCAGGCGTTGTACCACCAGCCGCCCTTGTGGTAGTGGGCGCAGCTCCCTGCGGGAGGGGAGACGTTGTCAGGGGCCGGGACGTTCCCACGGGGGAGGGGTGCAGCGCCAACCCCCATGGCCCCCTAGGCCTGGGACTCAGCCAGCCCCACCCCCCAGGACATGCAGCCCCCCATTCAGCCCCCTTTGGAGCGGTTGTGGGTAAGAGGGAAAGGGGCAGAACCTGCCCCCAGGTAGGTGTTGTGGTCCCCGGTGCCCTCGCTGGGTGCTCCCCCCCCCCCCCCCCCGCAGACCCCTCACCGCTGTACGCGTCGTGGTCCCGGTCCAGCGTGCTGAAGGGGCGGCCGTCGTGCCAGGCCAGCGAGTCCCCGGCGCTGCCGCGGTACCGGCCCAGCCGCAGCCGGTAGGAGTCGCTCTCGGGCTCCAGGGCGAAGCGGTCGTAGTGGGCGTATGCCTGGCGCCCCGCCCAGTCCTCCAGCAGCACCCGCAGCGCGTAGGGCCCCGGGCCCTGCCCTGTCACCCGGCGGGTGCTCTCCAGGCCCAGCCAGTGCTCGCCGTCCAGCGTCCCGAAGCCGTGCTGGGGGGGAGTGGGAGTGAGGGAAGAGACAGGCCGGGGGGGCCCTGGGAGGTGCGTGGGGGGAGGGTAATGGCCAGGGGGTCCTAGGGAAGAGGGACAGTCACTGGCCCCAGGAAGGGGGGATCCTCCCCTCCCCCTCCCTCACGTCCCCTTCCTCTACCCCCCTGGGCTCCGTGGCCAGTTCAGCCCCTGGCTCCCCTGCTGTGGGATCCCATGGGGGCCGTATGGAGCCCAGGCACCACCTGCCCCCCTCGCCACCAGGCCCATCGCTGCATCACCCCCTTCGTGGGGTCTGACCCCCCCCTGGTTCTAAACCACCCCACTGCCCCCCCTCGGCCTAGGCGGGACCTGGTGCCCCCTCTGTCCCCATGGCCTTGTAGCCCCCGCCCCACCCCTGGGGATGGACCCAGGGCGGCCCCCCATGCCTTGTGCCCCCCAGCCGGCTCCCCCATGCCTTGTGCCCC